ACGTAACACAGAGAACGGCAATATGGGTTAATGGGGAACTACAATGGCTGAATGGAAATAAGAGCTGGATTCTTGGCAGGCCTACCTGTGTTTTAATGTCTGCATCATGTTTTGTATTTATACCAGAAGGGGTTTCTTTCCTTGAGTTTAGGCAATTGTTCTGCATTTCATTAAAAAGTATGAAACCATTTTCCGTTGTGCCAGGTAGAATCAACTGTGTCTTAAACCGAGATGGACAGCTAACCGCCAACCTTTAAAAACAAAAATCGTAGTTTACGATGACTGGCTGAACATTACGACAATGTAACAATGAGAACAGTAAGGGGGTTTGAAATGAAACATTTAAAGGATCATTATATTGTGATAACGGTTTTATATGCTAAAAATATGTTTTCATATTTCAAAAAAGCAACACATCCACGCATACACACACGCATACACACACACACTTTCAATAGTTCAAACCAAAACATGAGGGAGCAATATGGAATGAGAGCAAGTTAGATATATGCATATTATGCAATAAAATAGATAAAAGGATCTAGCAGGCAGTATACACAGGGATATAAAAAGGATCAGTAAACTCCCATTACATTTTGGTATCAATGATATACACTATTATAAGTAGTATTGATATAGTGCCAACTAATTCCGCAGCGCTTTACAATATTATGAAACGGGGAAGGGGAGGGGAAATTTACAATAAAGGAGACAATTACACAGTGACACAGGAACAATAGGTAGATGAGGACCCTGCTCAAACCACCTTACAGTCTCAAATACACAACAGGGCAGCAAGGGTGACAGCCACCAAACAAGGTGGTAAAGTAGCAGACCTGGAGGTGAGAGTTGAGTATGGCTCTTTAGAAGATCAAGAGACAGACTTGGGTAAGTATAGATAAGTTACTCTTGGAGTCCATAAGCAATTCTGAATAGATGTGTTTTGAGTGACTTCTTAAACAATTGAAGACTAGGGGAGATGTTTAGGATATGTTTATTTATGTATTGTACATTGATACATTGTTATTGTTTTTAATTGTGGTCCCTGAGGAAGTTCTTATAGAACGAAACGCGTAGGACAACTTTTTTGTTATTTATATCCTATGCTGAAATGGTGACTACACTTTTTATTTGAATAAATTTTTTATTACTGAACCCTGACCTGTGGATGGATGTCTTTTGGTGAAACAAGGATCCAGAGGTGATAAGAAATACCAGCTAGCCCCCCATTACATCGGGGGAGGCATCCTAAGAGCGCTTCTATTGTCTACATCCTGTGAGTGCACAAGATTGCTGCGCATGAAATAGTGTTTTATAACAATATCACACTATGTTCTGTTTTATGTTTTCTCTGTAGATTTACATAGCCATATCCCGAATCTTCTTTGTTCTGGTTAACACTAAGACTAGGGGAGAGTCTGATGGGGGGTAGGCAGTCTATTCCAAAAGAAGGGAGCTGCCTGCGAGAAGTCCTGGAAGTGCAAGTTAGCAGTAAGGGTCTGAGCAGCGGACAGGAGAAAGCCACTGGCAAAGCAGAGCTGAGAGACCGAGAATGGGGATATCTATGAATCAGTGAAGAAATGTAAGAGGGGCAAGAGTTGGCGATACCGGAAGTGTTTACTGCACCCCACTTCAGTAAAGTAGGCGCCTGCCGTTTTGGGCAGGCAGGTGCCTACTCTGCATTGATGGCAACCTATGGCTGCATGCCCACAGAGAGGGCCCAGTTTGCCACCTGTGGCACGTGTGCCATAGGTTTGCCATCACTGTCCTACAACCACATCACATCAAACCACAACTTCTCCGTTTAATCCCTCCCGGCAACTATATATATATATGTGTATATTGTGCATATTGTGTCTTGGTTAGTGTATTAATTGCATGTGTAGTGTATGTACTTAATTGCACGTGATGTGCTATGTAACCCCATATGTAACAATTCATTATAGTATTTGCTTATGAGACAATGGAGGTATATACAAAAATGTTCTAAAAATTGCTCTAAGGTACAAAAACTGGGTCAATCAACATGGAAACCAGTAGAACCAGCAGAGGCATTCCATTGTGGATTTCTCCCCTTTTACATTTCTTTTGAATAAAACATTTTGCTTAATTACCCCAGATATGTTTGCTCCATTGAGAGTGTATAGTACTCTCAACAATAAAAAGTCAACCTCAGCTCTGACACACACATACACACATTCCATGGCCAGTCTCTGTCGCACACACAAGCAGCAAACACAGTCGTAGAGTGGCTTGCATGGGCAGAAGCGCTGACAAAAACTCACTAGCTCACCCTTCCGCTAGCTGCTGCTCAGATCTCACTAAGATTTTTACTTGAATGTACCATTGCAGAGAGGACCGTATACCATTTGCATATAACACTAATGCCACCCCTAAGGTAAGTCCAAATCCAAAATTCTAACAACTTCCCTCTGCATGAGCGATACAGCAACCCCAGACAATCATTTCGGCCTTGTCAACTTGGTGTAGCCGATATCTTTTAGGCACAATGAGCACAGAGGTCCATGTCTGGATTACCCTTTTGACTTAAAGGGACTCTCCAGTGCCAGGAAAACAAACTGCAGGTCCCCTCTTCCTCCCACCTCCCATCCCAAGTTGCTGAAGGGGTTAAAACCCCTTCAGTGACTTACCTGTATCCAGCACCGATGTCCCTCGGCGCTGGGTCAGGCTCCGCCTATGCTCCTCCTATGCTTATGTCGGCGGGGGGAACCTATTGCGCATGCGCAGCCAGCAGACCTAATGCGCATGCGCAGTAATGCCGCGCACGCGCATTAGAATGCCCCATAGGAAAGCATTGAATAATGCTTTGCTATGGGGATTACGGCAACGCTGGAAGTCCTCACATAGCATGAGGACTTCCAGCGTCGTATAACACACTTTTCGTGTTCTATGAACAAAAAGTGTCCTCTAGTAGCTGTCTAGTAGACAGCCACTAGAGGAGGAATTAACCCTGCAAGGTAAATATTGCAGTTTATGAAAATTACACTTGCAGGGTTAAGGGTAGTTGGAGTTGGCACCAGACCACTCCAATGGGCAGAAGTGGTCTGGGTGCCTGGAATGTCCCTTTAGTAGGGCTGCACACAATGTGCACATGACATGGACACCACAGACCCAACCATTAAGGTGAGCTGCTGCAGCCTGGAGGTCTGGGTAAGATGTTTCTGCACAGACAATCGTGACAATGGTAAGGGTTAATGAACACACATTGCATTAGATCACTGACCAGCACAGCAAATATGTTAATACCCATATTCTCTTAAGGTAGAGCACTTGGGTGACTTTATATTCAATACACTTATTGCTTTATTATATCAAGGTGAATTTACGGACATTTCAGTCCTAACAGTAGACTTTTATCATCTTGCTAAAGGCACTGTATTAGGATTGAAAATCAGTCGTCAGCACAATCAACCAATGTTTCAGTCTCAGACGAGAATGTTATACATACACACACCCACTGACATCACCCATGTAATTATTGGGTAATAACGCACAGATCACCTCTGTGTAGACTGATGCTCTAAATAACATATATGTCTTAGCCTGCCAGAGATTAGTAGGAGTTACACTCCCAAGTGGCACCTTCCACAATTGTAATGAAGGCAGTGTAAATATCTGTCCCTGTCACTATAACTCCCACTAATTTCACGTAGCACTCTGATATGTATGTTCCAGTGCGGCACTTCTAGTAAAAACCTAACCTTTACCCCTACACTACTGTAACATGCTACACTAAATATTAACCCAAAGACTGCGCTATCACGTAACGTTAACCCCTACACTATTTAACCCAAAACTACGCCATTATGTAACGTTAACCCCTACACTACCATAACATGCTACACTAAATATTAACCCAATGACTGCGCTACCACTTAACGATATCCCCTACACTACCATAACATTCTACACTATTAACCCGAAGACTGCACTATCACTTAACAAAATCCCCATCACTACCATAATATGCTACACTATTAACCCAGAGACTGCGCTATCACATAACGTTAACCCCTACACTACCATGACATGCTACACTAAATATTAACTCAAAGACTACACCATCACGTAACGTTAACCCCTACACTACCATTACATGCTACACTAAATATTAACCCAAAGATTTAATAAAATTATTACTTAATGCTACACTATTAACCAAAAAGACTATGCCATCAAGTAACGTTAACCCCTACACTACACTAGACCTTAACCCCTACATTACCCTTTACACTTTCAATACTCTCTGCACAATATCATGCAATTTAAAAGGATACAGTGAAGTGATCTGTGCATTGATACCCTTTCATTATGAGAATAATTTCAAGAAAGATGCAGGACAGGGTTCTAAGACATGATCTGCCCATTACAATGAATCCCAGACAACTGGATATTTTGTTATGGTGCGGCCCTAAGAGTGTTGTATCAAATATTGCATAGTATGCAGTATGGCATTCAGAAACATGATCTTTTCACTGCAATAACAGACAGATCATATGATTTTATATACATATAAATAAACACACACACAAACTAATATATATTTGCTGCACATATACTCTTACTTCTCCTACTTTGGGGTTTTAATTTAAATCTATGGCATGGTCCACTTAAATCACCCAATTTAACTGAGATAGCGCTATTTATTACCACTGTATATATTCTTACCCATGCAGGGTGCTTTACATGGCTTAATAATAAAGTAATCAATGTGTAAATATATCCAAAAATAATGTTCTACGATGGAACATTAAATAAATTGTAGCACATCAGTAACACTAGGCATCATACGGAGTAACACAAATATACATGGCGTACAATGCAACATATGAGTACTATTACACACACACACACAGACACAGACAGACATACACACACACACTGCATATATATATCACCCTCACTCTATATAAAGAGCATTGAATTACAGCTCTCTGAAGGGAAACAAAGACAACTTCATTTGAGCATCATGTGGTCCTGTTTAACCTCCCCTCTTAATGTAGATGTCTGTATTTAGGTGTGCATTTCCCCTGGACCCTTCACATATCATAAGAGCTGTAATAAAGAATATGGTTTGTAAGAAAGGCTTCAATTGAAAAAGGGGTTTAGGGATCTAATGACTAGGCAACTTTTTTATGGCATCTTTTACAACTGCAGAGTTTCTCTCCATTTCACAGAGCCATCAATGGGATTTTATGGTATATAGTAGACTTGTGCAAAGCTCTAAAGACTTTCTTCAGTGCTTTTATTTACAATTTAACTCCTTACTGTCTGAAGCTCTGCAATGAGCTACAGCTAAGATACATTCGTTTTAATGTTTCATGTTGGAGTACTATGTAGCTGCTGTTAGAGAATATCTCAGAATGGATAATTGGAGAAGTGGAATTATGTTGAAATCTAAAGAATATAGTAGGGATTTCAAAATAAATAGAGATTTTCTGATTATTTTGAATTGTGTAACAAAATTGCTGGTTTAGGGCAATAAATTAAATATTTGCAGAAGTCTCTCTATAATGAACTCTCTCTCTCTCTCTAATATATCGATCTATCCATCAGCTCCTAATATCCCATCTCTAGACACACAAGCTCACTAAAACCCCAACAATTGAAAACAGACAGTTGATGTATACACAATACAAACTTCTATACTGGTAAATAAATATGTGGAATAGATGCAATGAGTCTGTTTAGTGGGATGCATGTTGTTCTGTATATATATATATTTATGCATGTGTTTCCATGCATAGGAGACGATCTGATCTTTTGATTGTAACCCAAGATGTCCATTGGAGGAAATGAATCAGTACACAGATCTCTTAATCTAATAAAACCCAGTCCAATGTATGTATCTCAAAGGAGGCTGCAAACATTTTTAGACTAAACTTTGTTTAACCTTGTAAAGGGCTTCCTGATCTTTATCTGAAGAACAAGCTGTCCTCTTTTCGGGATGTTTAACTTTTGGCATATTTTACCTGAGAATTATAGTGGGGGGTATCCATGCAGGCCTTGGATTAACCCTATAACACCTGGCAGACTGATACAGCATTCATTCCCCCCTCCCCACAATCTTTCCAGCACTGATAGGATTTATAAATAATTCCAGTTAATAGCCTGTATTTATTCCCACTGTCAGATATGTGCAGTTCAGACCTACTATAAGCCATCTACACATTCTAGTGGGCATCACATAAAAGATCTAATCTATGGAAAAGTATGTAGTTAAAGAATTCTACATTGTGATACACTCCCTCACAGCAAAGTTTTAACTCTGGTAAAAATAATAAATATATATATATAAATAAAATATTGTAGGTTATAATTTAATAATGCATTATTCACACATACACGCACATAATCAGATTTATTTATGCACATTGTTATGATAACTACATTTTCTGCAAAGATAGATAAATAAATGGCAGGTACTTAAAAATGTCGATTTATTAAACACATTCTGAATTAGCTTTTTACTGCTGTGTGCTAGAATAAAATCCAGTTTTAAAATGAAAATGGAGCTAATTAAACTTTATATATTTGGAGGTGTTTTTTTTTCTTACGTTAATAAATAAGCTGTAATTGGAAAAAGGGAAGGATTTATTAAGGTAAAACTACAGTTTGTTCTTGAATGCAGATCTAAATGTTAAGATACTTTCTACTCGGTTGATCATTATTTAGTACTTTGCTCCTGAATGCCGACTGTTGCAGTGACAAGTCTCCTCCATAGTGTTTTTTTTAATTTTTTTAAATCTTGCATTAAATTCCATTTTTATGGATTTCACCAACAATAGCAGAGATAGCCACTGGCTACAAATATATACACCTTTATAAAGAAAATTGAATTTTCTTACAAAAAATATAAATAGTGCATCCTGAAAATGGTTTTATTTTTTTTCTTTCATCTTAAGACTTGATAGTGATTTTCAGTTACCTACCATTCATTTATACATCCACCCACCATTTATTTATACACACATACACACACCCCTATTTATATTCAGACACAAAATGTATCTGTTGAGCTTTTGTCAGCAGAAACATTGAGGAGTTCTATGAATAAATTAGATTCCAAAATAGAATGCATTAGTTGGGCCACAGAGTGCAGCAGTCTGACACCATGCATAGTGCAGTGCAGGCTGGGAGGTCTCAGTGAACCAGTTTTGCAGGTTAATGTCTGTGAATGCGGAGTTGATGATGATTGAATAAGATAGATCTGGGTGGTGAAGACGAGCAGTACAGACCAGTATTGATGACCATACACCAGGACTGTCACTACTACCCAGAGCACTGCTAACTGGAAGATGAGGGCGGGCAGATAGATGTCTTGCAATAACACAGCCTGCTTCAGACATTCCTACAGAAAGTACATTCACCATATTTAGCTAATTAGTCCAACTACTCAGACCAGTACATACTGTACAATGTACACTGTACCCAACTGGCCTTGTGGCATGCATATGCAATATAGGAGTATATACTGGAACTAAACCCCCATTATTTTGCCTGTTAGTTTAAAAAAAAAAAAAAAACGATTACATTTTATGATCTTTGAAATTGCTGTTTAGTGATTGAGTGAGTGCGCTGGATCCTGTGTGTCATATGAATTGGTCCCAGCAGCACTCTTATTATGTATATATATATATATATATATATATATATATATATATATATATATATATATTCAGCCTCTTAGAGATTATATATATATATATATATATATATATATACATATATATATATATATATATATACATACACACACGTAAAAAAAACCAAAAACCAAAAACTATTACATTTTATGATCTTTGAAATTGCTGTTTAGTGATTGAGTGAGTGCGCTGGATCTTGTATGTCGTATGAATTGGTCCCAGCAGCACTCTTATTATGTGTATATATATATATATATATATATATATATATATATATATATAGAGCCTCTTAGAGATTTTATATATATACACACACATACATCTATATATATATATATATATATATATGTAAAAAAAAAAGAAAAAACCCTTTTAGTTTCCACCATGTCCTTATACCGCTGCCTAAATTCGCATATGGTAACACAAGCTCACTACTAATAGGATCAGTGAAGTGAGATATCCGTGGATCAAAGCTGAATTATCCAGAATGTCAGATCCTATGAAACAGAACAAGTCCCTAAGAAGCCTGAAGTTCAGTCTGAATGTATGTGTCTAATCAGTTAGCCCAGCCAGGCCTAGCAGCCCCTTCCATACACCCAGAGGACAGGAAAAGGATGGATAACCGACTCAATGATCTAATCTCCTGGGGGAAGCCCTGATCAACACTGAGCTGGTACCATCAAATCTTAAAATACATTGTAACAGAGTGAGAGACAGAGAGAGACAGAGAGTGTGTGTGAATGATATGCTGCAGTGTGTATGTGATACATTGTGTCAGACTAGAGGTAGGTGGAGAGAAGGAAGGGGGTGGATAGCCATCTTTAACAATTCATCATTCTGACAGCTGGTTCAGTCACCTGGATTTCATTAAAATAAACATTTCAGTTCTGTGCTGACTCCCTCTAGTTTTTCCCTATTTGAAGGTTTCCACCCTCTGCCAGTATTTGTGTTTCTGGATTGCGATATGTTTTTCTGATTGCCTCTAATTTCCGATGGCCCTTTTAATTAGATAAGGCAAAAAAGGTTTAGTATCCCTACTTCCTTCCTTTCACCAAACCTCATATAAAAAGAACGCGCATGGTGACCCCTACTGGCCAGCATGAGTAATGCAACTTTAAAATATGAATTTTTAGCTAAACCTGTATTTATTTTTGTAAATGTTGTTTTTATTATCACCATTATATGGCCATCGCTATATGTCGATGATCCTCATATACTCACATTTTTACCTTTAATGCACATCCCTACCACTAGTATTGTTTTAAAACTATTGTTTTTGTAACATCCATATGATATTTTAAGCATTTCCTTGTAGTGTTTAAACAGTTTGCATGCCATGATTATACTAAGAATTGTATTAGAATGCCTTGTTCTTTGCTCTGTGCATCAATTACAAATGCAATTAAACTGCTAAAAATACATTTTATGTTTGTGGAATGAGTGATCAGAATAAATTGGGCTATGGGGTTTACACATATTTTAAATATTCAGACATTTATTGGGTTATTGGGACTGGTTATTCAATTGCCAATGGCGAAGGGCTTCACCAGTAGGCTTCATTATAGGAAAGAGACTTTTAGCAGGTTATGTTATCATTAAAGCTATTTGACTAGCGTTAACATTTCTAAGGAATTTATACGGAGTTATTTACTAAAGTGAGAGAATTGATGGGAATTCAAAGTGAATTTCCATGTTTAAGTAAAAATAGTCAAATTAATCAATTCTGTTTCAGTATGACTAGTTTGGCCTTAAATTTGAAATCTACTTTGAATTCCGTTTGATTCCCCGGCATTTCTTATTATAGTAAATAATCCTGATAGAGAGAGTGTGATCTGAATATTAAAAAATACACTTAATATTTATTCAAGATATATATATATTAAACATAATAAAATAAATGTGGATTAGGTTAAGGGTCAGTCAAGAAGGAATACATTTTTAACTTTTTAGAAATCCACAAAAACATGAACTGTGTCAGCATTATCTATAAAATATTAAGAGGCCAAACTAGCTTGGAAAAGTATAACTAGATTGTTTAAAGATGAAAATAAAAAAGTGCAAAAGAATGTTTAATAAGGAAAATATTAAAAAACAAGGTTACTTCATCAATAAGTAAAATGACCACCTTGGTTGGTGGAGATCAGGATCAAACCGTAATTTTAAATAGATCTTTAAGCAAAATCCAACTGCTGCAAGTTTAACAAAATTATTTACTGCAGATGTATTCCGTTGCAAAAACAGCAAAAAAGTCATATATGGAAATGTAACAAAGAGGTGGACATTGTGCTTCACGTATGGTGGGCATGCCCAAAAGATAACAGCCCTCAGTAATAAAACTAGTATTTAAAAAAAAACAAAAAAAAACAACAACATAATTTGAAAAGCTTATCCAACAATATTATTAGTGAGGATTTAGTGTCCTGAGGAGTGGAGAAGTTTAAGGTACATGGAGGCATAGCCGTTCTAAGACATTTTGCTGCTTAGATCCAAGGATGAAATGCTGCTCACCAGCCCCCTTCGTGAAACCACAGTACATCCACTC